AAATGACTGGCGCTCGGGTCTTTGCTGTGCTGCGACTCTGCGAGCGAACGTTGGTTGGGAGTTGAGCATCTGTGAGCTCGCAACCCTACGACGGCGATCGCACAGAGCTCTCGAGGAGGGGAAGAAACGAAACAAGAAAGAAAAAATTGGGCTTCGAGAGTCCTCGCTCGTGCGTGTGTATAGACGTCGGAATGGGCGAACCCCAGGACAATGTCAGACCTTCTCGCCTATTGTCTCTGGGCTTCGTCTGAAAGGTAAGAGTTACTGAAAGTGGACGTGCGAGGAATGCCCTTGCAATCACGCCTCATCCCAGCCCATGCAGGGAACGATTGGACCTTGCGAAGCACCTTAGCTTTTGCTGGCAGGGCAGTGTATGTGTATGACAGGGATGATCAGGCACTAGGGCAGTACGATCTCACCATAGGTTAATAGACTGTAGACTCGATGGACGCCCACGCTGAGTACAATGCGAAGCGGAAAGTGGAACGTGGGGAAAAGCAACGGTAACCATGTCCCATTTTCCTTCCGGGCGAAGCCTGAAGGTGACGCTCGCTGCTGCATGCAAGCTTCGCCGTCCACGAGGTTAGATGAGACGAGAGGCGGGCTCGACCGTCTTCGGGTGCTACTGAGAGCTACGATATCCGAATGTCCACGTACCCGACAAGCCAAGAGGTCCACGTGAGGTTGTGGCTTCGTTACCTAGCATTGCAACACTTTGGGACGCTGTTCTGAACTCCTGGATAAGGTAGCTTGAATTCTCGTGTCCTGCAAGCGAATTTGCTTCACAAGACCGGTCGGGCACCAGTTCTCGTGATACTGGGTACAAAGTATGCAAATGGAAGATCATCAATAGCTGATAGGCGAAGCATGTCCAAGTATTCCTTAAGTGAGGCTGTTGGGCGACCAAGGGTTGATTGGACGTGGTTTCGGAGACCCACAAACGGCAGCTGAGTAAACATGAGGGTTACCTTAGATCAAGGTGACACCAATATCTATCTTTCTTTGACGACATTCAACTTCAAGGCTATGTGATAAACCTCCAAAACCCGGCATCTTCCTTGTCCAATGGCACCACCAAGACACGATAGACGGGCATGAGGCGGCCTTAAAGACAATCTTTGCCCGACTCAGACGTTCCCGTCTCTTTGATGATTGATCCAACCTCAAATTATGCTACGGTTGTGCGTTCCCAATTCTCGAAACATATGTCCGTGGTCCTCCGTTGTGCTCATGCCGCCTGACGCCCTGCGCTTGCCCTCGCACCGATTGGCGCACTCGACCATTCACCAAATATCGATCCATTGCGCCTCTATGGTTCAATAGTCAGTGTAGTGAACGCTCTTGTGTCGCTATTGGGCACCAAGCGGGACGAGTCTTGAAGTAACTGCCGCCCGGTATCCTGTCATCCCACTCTGTCTACATCAACTCCATCTTACTGCGTCTGGAGACGCTCCAGGCGGGATGTGACAGCCTCGACCAGAGCCGTCTCCCGTGAGAGGAGGGACATGACTTGCTGCAGCTTGGCCTTGCGGATCTCTGTCGGGATCTTGAGCTCCGATACCGAAGACGATGAATCCTTCCCGCCCTTGCCGTCCTCACTCTGCTTTTGGATCCGTTCCACTTCTGCCAACAATTCGTCCTTCAGTCGTTGCACGTCCTCCACACGTTTCCTGAGTTGCTTCTGCTGCTTCACTCCCGGGCTGTCTTCCGAGGGTGATCCTAGAACGCTGGCCTCCATATTTTTGACTTCTGCCACGAAGGCCCTCTCCTTGGCACTGAGCTCTCTTGTTGCTGCCTTGCCAACATACTTGCGGACGCCCTCTAGTCTCTCGTTGAGTCGTTTCTGTCGATCTTGTGCCTCTGCGATACGTCTCTCGAATCGGACGTCGTCACTTTCACCGTCGCCGGCCTTGTCGTTGCCCGCAATCTTGTCAATCTTCTCCTTGACCTCGTTCGCCTTCTTAATTTGATCCCTGAGCTCATCTTGAAGAGTAGCGCAGCGTCGGAAAATCTCCGCCACAGCTGTGCCGAGCCGGTAGGTATCCTCACCAAGAACACGATGGGCGTCAGTCAAGATCTGCAGCGTAACCGGAGACAATCTGATCTCCTGGTTCAGAATGGTCTTGTGGCGTGAGCTACGGAGTCTGTTAATCAGCTCAGGAAGGTCAGATTGCTGCTCGAATGCGTGCGAGGGCTGGAAAGCTGGACGAGGCTCATAAAAGTCCAATGGTTCCATAGTCGTAGGCTTCTCCTCGTAGGGCGTTTCGTGGCGGACAGGCGAGAAGTCGTCCTCAGGCGTCTCGAACGTCAAGGCAATTGGCTCGTACGGGGTGGCCGACAGAAGGAAGTATCCCAAATCCGGATCGCGGATGGCGGCGCATGCGGCGAGCGGCACGTTGACATCGCTTGAGGACTGGTTGTAGAGTCTTTCGCGAATAGAGTTTTGTCCGTTGACAAGAAGACCGAGACGGAAGTCAGAGCCCGCCTCCGACTCGCCCGAGAGCTCACCCTCGAGGCGGAAAACCCAGGGAGATAGAGAAAGGAAGGTGACGCCGGCGTGCGAGGTGACAAAAAGAGAGTAGCGCGACATGACATCCGATGAAAACGTCGGCCATGCGTCGTCGTTCATTTCAGTTGTGGCCATGGTGTCGATGCACTGGAACGTCAACAGTGAAGGTGGGTCGGCAGCGGACAAGAGGCGTCCAAGCTTGGATTTGTTTCGCGGGGGCAGCCATTGTGCTTCGACGCCTTCCAAGTCCAAGTACACGCGGACCTGACCGGTGGTAGACAGGAGGCAGATGACCGAGAGAGAGAGTCCCTCCTGGTCACCTTCGTCAAAGTCCAGGTCTTCGTCCTCGCCCATCATCAGGTCGTCAGTGTCCACCTTCTTCCCGATTACGAGCAAATCCGTTAGAAGGCCGTCCCCGACGTCCTCGCTTTCGGGATCGGCATCGAATTCGAACGGGCCTTGCAATCTTGGGATAACTCCCGGCCGGGAAGGGCGTGTATAGACCTCCACGGTCTCTTCGCCGGGCGCTGTATCGAGGATTTGGGGCTCCTGAGAATCCAAATCACCCATCCACTCGAGCTGCTGCTGAGCGAGGAGCTTGTCCATTTCAGATACAGCAGGGTCATCCTCTAGGGCAGCCACCTTGGATACGATGGAAACCGAAAGCGATGGGATAAGAGTAGGAGGCGGTGCCCATTTCTGGGGGAGCAAGGGGCTCAATGCGTAGACGTCGCCTTCTCTCATCGCAACCCAGAGAGTCATAGGGCTCCATCCTCCCGAGCCGCGGCCAGCAAAGCAAGCAGAGGCCACCTGCATCTCCAGAGAGTACTGCGAGAAGCTGGCATTCGTGGCAGCCGTGGATGCGCTGAAGTCCTGGTCCAGCGTCGTACCATCCACCAGCTTCTTCAAGTCGATCGACAGTGTGGGAGAGTCAAATGACCACCGATCGGTCAATGACAACTCCCAGACGCGCACAATAGCATCGGTCGTTACGGTGACAAGGCAAGATCCCTTGACGCCAAGTGGGTGCCATACAGCTGATGCAACTGGGGATCGCGAGGTGACGTGAGTTGTAGGTCCCAGTGTCCAGATTTTGGGTCGTAAAGGTCCAGTGTCCTCGGCCGTGAGATGCGAAGAATCGGGAACCACGCAGATGTGAACGGTATGCGCCGTGAGAATAGCGAGGTAATCGGAGTTGGGAGAGATGACAAGCTGCCGGATGTCGTCTGCGACAGATGTCTTGATAGTCTGTAAGACTTGTTAGCATCCTGGTCGCCCGTCCTGTTGAGGACTGGGCCGAACCTACCCTGAAACCCTGAGCCGTAGCCGCCTCTTCCGTCGAGGGAATGGCATCATCGTCAAATGATTGTGTCGAGTCCTCCCGCTTGACACGGCTGCCCATGCGACGGTGCGCATGCTTTGTCGACCATTTCTCCTTCAGGTATGCCAAATCGCCCCATCGCAATTCTTTGCCTACAGCAACGAAGACCTCGGTTCCTCGTCTCGCAATCGTCCGCCTCGGACCTTGGATCTTCTTCTTCTTGGACCCGTAGGGCGACGGGGCGCTCAACGCCTTGTTGGAGGCGTCGCTGGAGGGCGCGAACAAGCTGTGGCCGGGCCCATGCGATAGCCACGGGGCCGTATAGCTCTTGACCTTGGGCATCGCGTCCCTCTCAATGGAACGAGTCGTGTATCGGGGGTTCTCTGCAGGCTTTCGGGTGGTCGGATGGGTGCTGCAGGCCAACTTGAGCTCGAGTGTCGTTCGTGGACTTTTTTCAGTGGTGTTTGCTGGTGAGCTTGTTGCTAGAAGTATTCTTGGTCAAAAAACGCGGTTGCTGGTAGCAGCCACACCGAGACCCACTTTGAGCTTTCCCGGCGCTGCCTACATCTGCGCTGCACCAATCAGATCGACCAGACAACGGACCATGTAAGTCTTCATTCATGCCTCAGTACCTACTAGGTACCTAAGGTAAGGTGAAGTAAGGTATCGTAATCACCACCTGAAGTAGACAACTATATGGACTAGACAGCAAGAGAACGAGGTCCTCAGACTCGTTGTCATAAGTTATACTGACTATTGTAACGTTTTCATGAATGAAATAGGAGGGATCCTGTAGCAGTGGATGCATCTCTGAGGTATAGGAATAAGCCATGGACTAGTGTTTTGCCACTTTTAGATATTCTGAAGCTATCGAATCTTCTCAATTGAATCAAGAATTCAAAATCATGACCGGATAGAGTAGCTTCTCTCTAGAAATGCCGTCAATTGAATTGACCAAGTGACGTTGAGGCAACGACGTGATGTGATTGCTGCGCACAGACCATCGAGTTCAAGTCCCAGCAAGGTGCACCTGCCTGAGGTACCTTGGTACCTTTCGATTTGACTTGCAACCAGGCAAGTGCCGTTTCTCGACCCTCGACCTTCAATTCCCACTTACACGACCGACAACGAACCAATTGTCCTCCACCGCAAACCCCCAACACCTTCAGAATGCAGGTCCGGCACAGAAACACAGTAGAGCGCCTCGACAGGCCGAGCGCATACTACCACAACCGGGTGAGCAACAGCTACAGCTTCCCTCCAGCCTTCTGTCTTTCCAACAGTTCAAGCAAGGAAACAAGCAAACTCTCAAAGCAGCCAGCAGCTAATCTGAGAAAACCCTCACAGAACAAGCGCAGGAGAAACGACAACCGCGACGCCGCCCGCGAAGCCCGCGACGCCGAAGACGAGGCCGCCACCAAGAACGAACCCCTCCCCGAGGACCCCCTCGCCAACGCGACGACGCTCTACGTCGGCAACCTCTCCTTCTACACCACCGAGGAGCAGGTCTACGAGCTGTTCTCAAAGTGCGGCGAGATCAAGCGCCTCGTCATGGGCCTCGACCGCTTCAATAAGACCCCCTGCGGCTTCTGCTTCGTCGAGTACTACACCCACCAGGACGCCCTGGACTGCATGAAGTATATCGGCGGCACCAAGCTCGACGAGCGCGTCATCCGCACCGACCTCGACCCGGGCTTTGAGGAGGGTAGACAGTACGGTCGTGGCAAGAGCGGTGGGCAGGTGCGTGACGAGTACCGCGAGGACTTCGACGAGGGACGTGGTGGGCTTGGTAGGGCGATTCAGATGCAGAGGGATCGGGACGATCGGATGGGCGAGTATGAGGAGTCGCGATGAGTGTTGGGCGATTGTGTACGGATATGTTTGGGACTGGGGAACACGTCTTTGTCCGACAAAGGACGGCATCAAAAGCAAATGGCACGTGGGAGAAGACGCAAAAGGAGAACGAGAGACTCTACTTTGGGTGGTGGGAAACAATGCTTTCGCAATAACTAGGCAGGCTTCTGGGAATCGATACCCCAATATGACACAATCATGGACATTGAAATGGTAGAAACCTGGGTGCGTGATTGGAAATTTCTGCTTCAACCTCATATTCGCCCCATGCAGTTGTACAAAAAGGTGTGTGATTTTATCTCCTGAGCCCAAAGCAGATGCTATAATATACAGAGAAGCTTTCTTGTCTGCTCCTGTCCACTGCAACAGCAGCCGTCCGTTGGATCCCCTCCCCTTTCTCAGCTTCGGGTTGCGTAGAGTACATATTCGTACAAGGGCCGTGATTCCCAACAAGCCATTCTTCCCGCCCCGAGTTTCTCGCAGCCCATCTGGCCAGTCCCAATGCCTCTGATAGTTCGGTCTAGTAACCCGGCGGGTTCAATCTCTGCGAAACTCTCGTCCACTTGGGAAGTTCTGCAAAAGACACGTTATCAGCTTCATACCCCATTGGCTCGATACTACGTTGAAAAGACAAAGAGGGGGGAAACATACTGTGAATGCCCTTGCGGTACTTCTTCTCCTTGCGATCAAACATGGTATACTTGTCCCTCGGCAGCATCTCCGCCTCGGTCGGCATCTCGGCCTTCCACCGCTCCAGCGCGGCCACCGTCTCGCCCTTCTTGGCCAGCGCGGCGTCCACCGTCGCAATCACGTCGTCGACGGCGCGGAGGCGCTCGCGGTGGCGGCGCTTCTGGAACTTGGAGAGCCGCCACGGGATCTTCCAGAGGAGGCCGCTCGAGAGCGGGGAGGTCATGCGGAAGGCTCCAAACATTTTGGATGTGTGTGTGTATGTCGACTGATGGAAGAAGGGAGGGCGTAGATTGTCGAGCCGTGATGTTTCCTCTGTTCGTGGAGGACGGCTGTTCGGGGGTTCGATTCGCCTCGACTTCGAATGGACTATGTCCCAAGTGTTGTGATGATCCCTTTCCCACACGATACGTATACCGTGCTGCCTCGCAATCCGTCGTCGTTTCAGTCGTCGTTGTCGCTTGTGGTGCTCAGGAGCTTCAGCCTCTCTCCTACAATTGACGAACAAATCCGTTCGACGCAGTCGCTTCCCAGGGAAATTTTGGAGCTACCTACGAAAGCCGATTCAAAAGTGGAGACGTATCAGAGAGCTCGATTGGTTGGCTCTGCTCCGGCGCTCTCAAGTCGTGCGGAATAACCCATGGACCACCTCATGGTGCCAACCCGGGAGGAGTCTCCACTATCGTCCTGCAGGCCCGCCAGCCCGCCCCGCGGGCCCTGCGCTAAGGTTCCTGGGTAGGTGTTAGCTGTCGCTGGAGGTGAGGCGTGCAGCAGCAGCGGGAACTCGGTGAGAGAGAGGCGCAACATCACGATACGAAGATCCAGCGATTCTTGAGATACCCCCCGTACCCCCACGACGACAAACCCCTCAACCTCGAGCGAAAACTATACTGCCTTATTCTACGACTAAACTCGACGTTCCTGTTTCCGGTACCCTCACCTTGCGAAGCCGCATACGTATCCCCGACCTAGAACCAAAGCGTTGCAATTCGAAACCAGATTCCCACAAGCACGCTCATCCACGCATGTCGCGCCAGTGATAGAGAGTTCGTCATAATCAAGAGCGCAAGACTGGAACCAAGAGCTAGAAGGAAAGAAACGCCGCGCGCGCACACACGACGCAACAATGTCGTACTACTTCGCCATCGTCGGCACGCAAGACAACCCCCTCTTCGAATACGAATTCGGCACCTCAAAGCAAGGCGGCGACGGCCAGTCGCGCTTCAACGAGCAGGTCCGCCACCTGAACCAGTTCATCCTGCACAGCAGTCTGGATATCGTGGAGGAAGTACAGTGGGCGCAGGGGCAAATGTAAAAAATTCCCACCTCAACTCCCAATACATCCCTCCACTTGGTCTCTCGTGCTCGAGCTTTCGCTCGCATCCATCGCAACGCAAGACGGCATAGGCCAGACACAAACGCAAGCCTGCTGACACGATTCCTTCACCCGATACAGGTACCTCAAAATCGTAGACAAGTTCTTCAACAACTACGTCTCCTGCTTCGTCACGGCGGGCAACGTAAAGTTCCTCCTCCTGCACCAGCCCTCCGCGCCCTCCACCACGGCGTCCTCGCGCTCGTCGACGGCCATCGGCGCCAACCCCACCAGCCCCGCGACCGAGGAGGCCATCAAGAATTTCTTCCAAGAGGTGTACGAGAACTGGGTCAAGGCTATCATGAGTCCGTTTTATAGGGTCAATATGGAAGTCAAGAGTCCTGTGTTTAGGTCACGAGTTGCGGCGGCGGGTAGGAAATATCTCTAGACATTACGAGGGCCATGGTGGACGAGGTAGACCAAGCGAGTCATGTTTTACAGCAGGTGCAGCCTAGACTACTCACATTATTCAGAGTGGATCACTTTACCAAACGTAAACAAGACACGCGTCACGATCAAATCACGCCAGAGGAACAAGAGTCTATGTTGTGTTCAAATCACCATATTGGTTGGTGTTCCATTTCAGACAATGCGTCTGCCTATCGACGCCATGAGAGCACTATCATTCCCAGAGTCTCGTGATTCCCAAACGCCATAAATCAACGTGATGTATCCATATCCCCATTACCGTTGAAAAGACCAATGAATCCACAACGAAAGCTCGCCTTTCAGCAGTCCAGATACCACGGCGCCATGGCATCCGAGTCGCGCAAAAGGCAAAGCAACCATCGAAGTGATACGCTTAACCACCGAAACCGTACAGGGTGCGGCCCTGGCGCTTGAGGGCGTAGACAACGTCCAGGGAGGTGACGGTCTTGCGCTTGGCGTGCTCAGTGTAGGTGACGGCGTCACGGATGACACCCTCAAGGAAGGACTTGAGGACACCACGGGTCTCCTCGTAGATCACTGGAAGGGGGATGTTAGTACACTATTGATGAGCAAGGTAGAGGATGTTGAGTCGACTTACTGGCAGAAATACGCTTGACACCACCACGACGAGCGAGACGGCGGATAGCGGGCTTGGTGATACCCTGAATGTTGTCACGCAAAATCTTGCGGTGACGCTTGGCGCCGCCCTTTCCGAGGCCCTTGCCGCCCTTGCCGCCTGGAAGACGTTAGTATCATGACTACTAAGTAATAGAGACTCAAAGTAGAGGGCATGATGCGACCAGAATGAGACGCGTATCCGCGATGGATGAGGTTGAGACGCGTTCTCAAGCAGAGACGCATGCCAACAGATCCTCATCCATTAAACCGCGGGGTTAAGCCGCACTCAGAACGCGCCACGACACCGCGACAAAGAGCAGGGTCGAGTAGGTAAAATAGAGATGCAACTTACGTCCAGTCATTGTGAATGGGGTTTGTTGAAGTAGATGCTTAAGTGGATGGGATAAGCGCGTCTCGATAAAGACGTGTCGTTGATGACGTTGAAAGTTGGTGTTGATGGATACGTTGGGTGTGGGAAAAGAGAAGAGTGGGAATGGGGGGAAGAAGAGACAGCTGAGGGGGGTAAAGAATAAATAAGGCGGTGCTGCAAGTCCGGGGGGATGGTTACTGATTGTGTGGTGCAGCAGGCGCTGATGGGATCAGTAGGCTAGTCCCGATTTGGCGAGTGCTCTTTATTTCTGAAAAAACGGGCAATTGTCCTCTATTTTCCGCCGGGAAATCGGGGCTCTTTGGCTGACATGGTTGCTTAACGAAGCGCTATTTTGACAGGCGCGCTTTTTTGTTATGGAACGCTGCACGCATTGTTGGGTGGGGGTGGAACGTGCACGGCTTCTTTTTTTTCTAGTCGGGGGAAGGACCCAACTTCCCAAGGGGACCGGGCCAAGCAGAAAGAGCCGTCGAAAGCAGGGGGGGTGTTGGTTGCCAAAAGCAGAGGTCAAGGCAAGTGCGGTGACTTTTGACTGGCCCGAGCTCTCTCTTTCCACTTCAAACTCCAGACATTGAACCATTGTCGCGGTCACGCGTCACCAATGGTCTTTTTCCTAAGTTCCTGCACTCTGCCAATGGCCACTGCCGCTCCCGATTTGCCGACCGCTTTCATCTTTCACGTTTCTTTTGCTCAGCGAGACTTATTTTTGATTGGTCCAATTTTGCCATCCTCCTCCCCGCTGCTGGGTGTTCATGCAATTGCAAGGGGAGTCCCGTAAATCAGCCCCTCCCTCTGCCGATTCACATGACTTGGGCACCTGATGGAAATTCAGATCGAGGGAACAGTCCCATCTGCGACTCATAATCCGGGGTAACGGCCTTTCTCAAAAGGTTTTGACAGCCCAGGAGGCCAGATTCATGGCGCATTCCGCCCCTGGTAACGAGCTGGCCGGCCTCTAAAGCCTAAGGTAGATCTGACGCGACATGGATCACTCCGTTAGACCTTAGTGATCTGCCGGTGAAGTTGGTCCGCAGGTAGTGTCACCTAACGAAACTGGTATGATGAGGACACTTGCGCCTACTTTTCTGTGTGCTTCATCCATCACCATGCACCAAAGGGCAATGACCATCAAAGTTAGGTGATGCATTACTTTTCATGACCAGCGATCTGTCGTATCAGTCACTACTGCGGCGCCTCATAGGGCGCTAATATACAAGAGGGTCATCCATTCAGCCCTCCCCAAGCAAGCCAATATGCAACCCTGCTTTACTTTCCTAAACGCCGATGCCATGCAGCATGCAACATGAATCCGTGTCATCGTGCTGTTATACCATGCCCAAATTCAAAGCTTGGCCAAAACTCGCTTTCGTCAAGTCGTGGGTACCCGGACTCGTTGCCAGTTCTCGCACCCCCCACAGAAAACGCACGCACAATCGCCGTCGCCCTTCCGCTCCTGTCGGTACGGTAAGGCAAAAAAGCCTTAGCCGAAGACAACCTTCTTTCTCCTTTCATCCTATGTCATCATGGAGTCTTCCATGCCCATGTCATCCTCGATACTCTCGATAGCGTCCTTGATCGATTGACTGGCCTGCTCAGACTGTTAGCTCAAATGTCTGCTGTGCTGTCCTGACTGGGTAACCTTACCTTTGGATCTAAAGCAAGAGCATTGCTGAAAGCGCGCACCGCCATTTGCTTTTCATTCAGGCTTCTGTACAGCTTGCCAAGAAGGAAGTGCACCATGGCTTCATCAGGGGCCACGTCCTTCAGAATGAGCAGCTCTTTCTCCGCGAGATCTATCTTGCCCAGACTCATCAGCGCGCGTGCTTTTTTGTACCGTACTATGGGTGCACGCGGGGCCAGGTCTGTCGCCTTGGTGTAAAATTGTAGCGCAGCTATCATTTGCTTTTGCCTTTCCAGGATTGCTCCGATACGGCAAATGAGGACAGCATTGGTTGGGTTGATATCGGATGCCGTATGGAAGTGAACGTAGGCCTTTTCGTAGTTGCCGAGCTTCTCAAAGACCTGGCCAATGCCATAGTACGCGTTGTAGTGACGTCGATCCGCCGTGACAGCCTTACGGAAGGCGCTGAGAGCCTTTTCGTACTCTTCGTTGGCAACGTGCTCGTGGCCTTGAAGCGTGAAGGCATATGCAAACTTGGGGTTCAGCTGCGTCGCTCGCTTAAAGCAGCGCAAAGCCATTTCATGCTCCCTTGCCAACGACCAAGCATTGCCGAGAGCGCACCAGGCTTGAGGGGATGTCCAGTCGGCATCCACCAGCTCATGAGCCAAGAAGGACAAGTCCGTCTCCCGCTTGAGATGCCACAGAATCGTCGAGTAGATTTCCATGTCGTCCATCCGCGTCGGCGCCACCACGCGTAATTTTCTGAAGTACTTCTCGGCGTCTTTGTACGAACCCTGTTCGTGATGCGCTCGGCCCATTTGCGCCAACACCCAAGGTGTATCTTGCTGGCTTCTTGGTAGGGAAGCATAGAATTGCAGCGCCTCCTGACACCGGAACGCTTTGAGTGAGTAGTACCCAGAGGCAAATTTCTTGAGCAGCTCCATGACCCATCTCAAAGCTTCCTCGATTCTGACGTTGTCTAGTTCGTGTGAGGCAGCTTTCGGTACTGCGTGCTGTACCGCGTGGGGCTCTCTCACACGAGTGGTCTCGGCATGATCAACATCCATGCCACTGTCCTCAACCGGCTTGCGATTGCCGCTCACGACCCTGCCAACACTGGAGCCACTAGACCCAGGTCGCATTATCCGTGAGATCTGGGGCCTAGCCTTCTTCAGCTCACGAGTTGCTGCGGCGCCGATGGTAGCGGCACCGGAATTCGCTTTAGCAATTGAGGGTTTGTTAAACATGTTAAGCCTGGCACTTCTCCGTTGTGCAGGTGCGTTGGCTTCTTCCGTGTGTTGCCTAGATACCGGATGGCCCGAAACCGTCCTCTTCCGCTCCGTGGGTGCCATGGTCGACCGCAGAGTGCCGGTGCCAGTATCGGAATGCAGCTCGACTGAGTCCTTGTCTTGGCTTCTGGTACTTCTTTTGGCACCTAGCTTGTAACCGACCTTCGGTGGGGCTTCGAAAAGGCTGGGATCCACGGCCTGGGCTGTTCTTGTCCTCCGTGGCGGCGCTTGCGGTGGCTCCGCAGCGTTGAAAGCTGAACGCATTGTAGGGACCTCTGGCATAGACACTGGGCCGGTGGGTGTTTCCATGAGGTCGAGTTCACCGTTGCTCGTGGACGGTGGGGCTAGCCTAGATCTTGCTGCTGTGATTTTTGACATGAAATCATTCTCCTCTGCTTCCGCGGAGAAGAGATTGGCACTATAAGGCATATCCTGATATGTGGAGGATCGATGGAGGTTGAATGGGTCAGATGAGTCCGCTGTTGATCGAATCGGAGGCCGTTTTGGCTCAAAGGAGTTTGCCGAACTCTCCTTTGGCTCCTGGGGCAATACTCCCTGCTCCTGTTCAAAACAATGAACCAGAGGATCGGTGACCTGGAAAATATTTGGTACACGCAACTTTACTCCCATGTCGCTGAGTGCCTGGAAGGCATCCCACATGAAAGGGTTGACTCTCACTGCAGTCTCGAAACACTCGATTGCCCTTCGCTTGTCGTCGTACGCCCGATACAGCTTGCCCAACAGACACAGAACCGCAGCTTCGTCTGGATAGAGCGAGCGGGTCGAGGTGGTGTGCTTGCCCATGTTCGTCTTGCCGATCCATTTCTCTCGTGCTTTTTCTAGGGCATTGATGCCGTCTTTGTATCGTTCCATTTTGACGCATGCGTGCGCAAATATCCAGGCAGCGCCCAAATTCGTTCCACGATAAGCTGATGGCCTGCTAACTTCGAAGGCAGTTCGGTGGTCACCGAGACGGAGGTGGCATAGAGCCAGGAGATGTGCAGACTCGCTCGACTTGGGATCTTGGGCGCTTAGCCTCTCGGCGAAAAAGAGGGCGTTCTCGTAGGCATTGTTGTCGACATGGTAGTACACTACCTGCCGCAGCAGCCCTGTTATGGCGGCACTCGTGGGCGCCATTCTCGGTGGGTGTTGGAAAAGAGGTGGGCGGTTCGGTGGAGGAGGGTTAACGTCCACGGCAGTTTATGGCCATGGGATCTCACGGGTGGTGCAGCAACTGTTGAATTTGAAGGGTAAAAATCGCGGTCCTCGGTAGCGTCCCGATGCACTGGACGTGCAGCTTTGGTCGGGAAGCGTTATTCGGGCTCTGTCGAGCTTGGGTATAGGATTTTGTGCAGGCGCAAAAAGTTGCGTCCGTGAATTTCGAGGTGGGCGTTCGCGCAGAGCCTGAGGCCGAGAGCAGCAAGGGTGCTGGAAGCGCGTTTGTGTCGACAGATGATTGAGGATTAACAATTATAGAGCAGCAGAAGGCGAGAGTGCAAGGTCGAATTGAACCGGTAAATGCTGCAAAAGGCGACGGCGAGGTTCGTAAGGTCGTAGAAGTGGTTCAATGGGCAGTTTGCGGATTGTTGCCTGTCGGGGCGAAGAAGGCGTTCGTTGCGTGGTGGGTCCCCGTGGATTGTTGTTTGGGTTCGGCAACAGGCGGGCAGTGAGTAAACTCAGTCAAAGTGCAGCAGTATCGGCTCTTTGCAGCAACACAAGACAAAATTCGCGGTCCATCTGACTGACTAAACAGAGCGCACCCAAAAGAAAGCAAAACGGGCGCAACGAGAACGCAGCGAGATGGGCACGGCAAAAGACTCCCCAGGGAACGAGTGAAGTGGAAGTGAACAGGATGGAGGGGGAGGATGATGGGGGGTTGCTGTCCAGAGGGAAACGGCCAGGCGGGAGGCGGGTGACGAACGAGACTGAAAGTGAGCGAAGTGAGAATTCTCCGTAGCTCGTCAGATCAACAGGCGTCAGGCCAGATCAGCCGTGCACTCTGCGTGGGATGGCAGGAGGGAAGGGGAGAGAGGTAGAGATGGTCGTGAAGGTGTCACTTTAGGTCCAGATCCAAGGCCATGTTGCGGCTTGCCATTATGTGCATGTCCAGTCAGCGTCTCTTGCTCCAAGTCTGGACGATGATGTGTTGACCTGACTGTGGCGTTTCCTTCCTTAGGTCGCGCTTGGTGTGGTGACACTACAAAGCTGATTGGCTCATACGATACCTCAGCGACCGCCGCCGTCTTTGCCCAGCAACCCGACCGGAAGAAGCGCCTACCAAAACATACTTAGATACCTACTCTAGCTGACCAGCCCCCCTGCCGCCAGCCCCCCACCTGCCAGCCCGTTCTGTCGTTCTGTGTCCGCGTCGCTGTCGCAGTCGCAACGCCTCCCCCGTGCCTTCCCCTTGCGCCAGAGACATTTACCCGCCACCTTTCGCTTCCATTCCCGGGGCTCCACTTATCGCCGTCTGCCCGTTCCATTGGGTCCCGCCGCGCCTGAGCCACAATATCAGCCATCCGCCTCGACTGCTGGAATTTCGTCACCCTGATCCTTTCAGCCTCAATTCCAACAAGGTCGCAACCTGTCTTCTACTCCCAGGAACGTTGGACCCCACTTTCGAAGACCGACATCATTAACTTAATTGTCTTGACCTCACTCACGTTCTCGAGGCCTCTTATCGTCACAATACCTTACTCCGTACCTTGCATCCAACTTCATACCCCACGACACAACCCTCAGCATCCTCCACCATGGCGCAAAAGGCAAAGAAGGACAGAGCCAAATCCAACGCCACCACCTTGAACAACCTCCACATCGGTTCCGCCGTTGTCAATGTTGCCTTTCTCATCTTCTACTTCATCTTCAAGTCCCGGTCTCTCTTCTGGTTCATCCTGCTCTCCTCTCCGGCCCTCATCTGCGAGTACGTCCTTGAAAAATCTGGCCGTCCCAAGTACGACGCGGGAGGAGGCCTCAAGTCCTCTGGCGAGGACTTGGCCGCTGCGGGCTTGACCGAGTACATGTTCGACGTCGTATGGGTGACTTGGGCCTCCGTCATTCTCGTTATCTTATTCGGCAACTGGGGTTGGTTCCTGTGGCTCGCCGTGCCCGCCTACGGCGCATACGCTGGCTACGGCTTGCTCGGAGCTGGCAAGCGTATGGCACAGATGGGCGCTGCGAACAGCGATGAGCCTGCCCCGCCCGCCAACAGGAGGCAGCGTCGAGCCGCATAGTCAGAGTCACATCTCGTGCTGCCTAGGACTTGAGCGCTACGAGCCAGATTCTCTGTTCTATTCTATCGGGAATGCAGCGACTAGGTCTATCTGTGCCAGGATTGCTCCTCAGACCACTTCTTGATGACTTCCGGGTCGACGTCCCGCACCAGCACGTGGATGTGCTCCAAGGCCCGGACGCTCTGAAGGGCGACCCAATTCTTAAACCAGATAACCCTGTCTTCTCCGACATCACCAAGAATTTTGACAAAGTACCTGTCAATGAAATCCTGAACAGTGCGCCTGCTCTCTACTGTCATGTCCCCGGTCTCAGGGTCCGTAGGGATGATGGTGCGCGACCAAACCACGATATGGGTGATGCCTGGGTCAAGTCCATACGGCCAATCGTTGACGAGAACCCGGTAATCGGAAGGATCCTCAAAAGGCACGATGGACTTGGGAGTAAAAGGTGGTTCGCCCCAGGGTTTGGGTAGGCGGTTGGTGAGAAGGAACTTGGTCATGGAGCCGTACTCGGCCTTAGTCTCGGCCGTCCATTTCATGTATCGACGAAGGTCTGACGGCTTTCGCTTCAAAACCTCGAGCTTATTTGTCGCTGGTGTCTAATCAGATCTTTGAAACAGAATATTCATATAAGACGCAACGCAAACGCGCTTACCAATGATCTCCTTGAGCTCCTCCCAGCCATGCTTCTTGAACTCCTCATCTGTCTGTGAGAGGACCCACTTATCAACGTCTGTGAGCGGGAAAGGTGCCTCTTCAACTGGAATGTCACCCATGTTGAGTATTTAGCTTGAGTAAATAGGTAGGCTATATGTCCGGCTTGTAATGGGTGTTGGGGCGAGTGAGTGAGGCCTTTTCGGAAGATAGGATGTAGTCGTTTTCAGGACGGGAGTAAGGATAAGCGTGTCACGAAGTTGAATAGTTGGCGGTAAGTAACGGCTGTCTGCCCCGAGCAGCGGAAGATCAGCGGTCCGATTTCCTCTTTGGGATACGACGAGGTACCATGGCAGGGCAGTGCGACAACTTCCACCTCATAGTTCATCCCATTTCTCGAGCATCGATAATGCTGCTTCCGGTTCTCCAATATCTCTGCACCGCGTTACTAGTACAAAGAAAGAGCCGGAAAGAAGGTCACCAGGCACCGATAGCTCGCTGAGGTATCGACAGGTCATAGTGCTGTAAGGGATCCGTGCATCTCAGGTACCTGGTTGAGCCGAGTGTTGGCCGCCTCTGCACGAGGAAGTATGTACCTTGTAATTGGGTCTTGACCTAAACAATCTTTCCAGACCTCGATTCGACATTCTCGTCGCATTGAGAAACAGTCGGATGCTCCTAGTTGTTGCCGAATGTTGAGTGGAAGGTGTGTCTGGCATTGATCGGGCAACTTCGACCCTGGTTCGGCAAGCAAGTCTTCTAGCGATCTTGAACAACGGGGAACCCCATTTCAACTTTGGCCCAACCCCAACTCCAACCACCTCGCAAACAAGACGACAAAATTCTGGCATCACTCGAACTAAAGTGTTACTCTACGCATGCACAAAGTCTTGAGATAATCACACTGAGCACCAGCCCAACATGGATAACTCGACAGACGCCGCCTTTGCGCATCCTTACTACCCAGTCACCGCTGCCCTACCGCACTATGTCGCCAACAAAAACTCCGTTCTCAGCTTGCTCGTATTCTTCGGGAGCATAATATCCTTCGTCGTCTTTACAGCCGTCGCGGGTGCTAGAAATACCTATCCCCAGCTGAAAGCCTCGGACCAGCTTACCGTGGCTTGGTTTGCTCTTTGTGCGTGGTGCTCAGAACATTGCTCGCCCAGCCTGGCTAATCGCTTCATTCACGCAGGCGGTTTCCTTCACTGCTTCTTCGAAGGTGTATTCGCGATCCTTCTGTTCCTCTCAGTCCAAGTCTAACGTCTCCACAGGATACTTTATCCTCAACCACAAGAGCCTGGCCAGTGACCAAAGTCTCTTCGGCCAGCTGTGGAAGGAGTATGCACTCTCCGACTCTCGCTACCTGACCTCCGATCCATTTATGCTCTGCGTTGAGTCCTTCACAGTAGTAGGTCGCGCTGCTTCTTGGTATTTCGAAAGAGCCCACTGTTGACCAAGATTCCAGCTCGTATGGGGCCCCCTCTGCTGGGCCATCGTCATCACTACTGCCAAGCGGAACCAGTTGCGTTACCCATTTCAGATCATCATGAGCGTTGGGCACCTGTACGGCGTCGTGCTTTACTACTCAACCAGCTTGATCGAGTTCTACTCCAACGGAGTATCGCATAGCAGACCTGAGTTCCTGTACTTCTGGGTCTACTACATTGGTTTCAATGCTCCTTGGGTCATTGTGCCTGCGAGTAAGTCAACATTTCTTCACCCCTCGTTCTTCCGTTGTTTCTGACGCCGTTCTGCCATAGTTATTCTCTACCAAACCACGGTCCATATCAAGAGGCACCTCACAGACCGTGCGGACGTGGTGGCCAAGCTGAACAGGATTGATGGCATTATGGGTGACAAATCTTGGCAGACGTACATGCCTAAGGACGAGGAGAAGAAGACGAACTAGCTTCATGGTAGCTGTATAAGTGGTGGTTTAATTGTGCCGAACTGTCTTTGCGGTGGAGTAGATTCATAACACCACAAGGCTGATCCAATTAAAATATGTTCACCACCGTTCGATGACCACCGTCAGGCAGGCTCACACTCCTTCTCCAGACGAATTTTTCATTCTCGAACATGTCTGGAACCAATCGAGCGCAATTTCCAGCCTTCCCGTTCGCCATGTTGTACAGCCGCGCTCCTACCTTAGTGAGTGGGGTCAGCTATCCCGAATTGGTAGTTATAGAACGCACTTGAATAGCGACGCTGAAGAAATAACATGCTCGCGATGTATATAAAGGGGAACAAATGTCTAGACATGAGGGAGACGAGAACATTCAACCTCCTCACTTTCAAGCACCTCACCCAAAATCTTGTCATACTTCACAATGCAATCCTTTCACTTTCTTCTCACTGCCCTTGCCGCGACAGCAGTTGGGGCAACCTGTCTCCCATCATCCCATGGTTCCCCTGCCTTCCCGTCATCCATGATCACCTTCTCTGCCGGCTTCGAACAGCCACAGCCACCTCTGATCAAACCAGAGTATCAGGCCAGTTTTGTTCAGCATAAATGGTAACTTTTTCCCCGACCGGTAATAATGTTACATTCTGTCTAATCGCGAGAGCCAGGAATGCGAACCTATCCCACATCACGACTGGTTACATCGACAATTCCCCTTCCGATGCTTTCGTCCGTGTGGGCGAAGCCTACGAGGGTCAGATTTCGTGGTCGTTGTTTGACTATTCCAACGTTAGCGAGTCAGGCCTCGTGGACAACACGATGACGACGTATGGCCCGAACTCCACCACCCCGAGCGTGTGGAGGGGTTATGTGAACTCGAATTTCCCCATCTTTCAGAGTGATATTCTGGTTGAAGCTGGAGCAGTCTATGAAGGACTCGTGCAGAGGGATTTCATCCCATCGCCTGTTGCCGCGGTAAGAGACCCCTGCTATCTCGATTCATCTCCCGTGAACCGTCGAGTTGACTATTTGTTCAGTGGAGCATCATGTACCAGGGTGCCATTCCGGTGACGGTCTACGTCAATGAATGCAATGTTGTCGTTGGCTACGACTACTTTGCCCCTGACTTGCGAACCCGAGTGATCATGGAGTTCTTCAATATTCAGGCAAAGTGAGCTTTGAACTACGTTTCCCCGGGGGCTTCGACACTCGCGCTATAAATGTTCGGCTTGGCCTACTTGACTTCATTTCTTGATTCATAGAGGCTCCTGCTCGGTACACTCAATATATTTCAAATGTCGTCCCGTGCCATTTCCGCGTGCTGGTATTCCCACAATTCTTGTAAATCCCTTTTGATTCTCCCTGAGACCGCGAACCCTTTTGTTGCTATTCTGTCAAGCAATCTCACAATCTCATCCCTTTGTAAAGACTGACTTGTATTTGCTCCAGCCATTCGGAGAGAGAACAGGAGTAATACCCCCGGCATGTTGGAATTTTCGAGGATTTGGTTTGACAGATCTACCACAGCGGTTACATGCGCCTCAATCTCATGGACTGCTAGCGAGGGGATGTCTTGCCCCTCCCAACATGCGTAATAGACATAGTTTCTAGACAAGAATAGTTGGAGAGCATTGTAGTTTGATAAAGCTAGCATGCAATACGGATCACGGTGATCAAAATACTGTGTGATTTGGTCGTGCCAGCTGTAAAGTCGCTGCTGGAAACGTTGACCTTGCTCAGCTAGAGCGTGTATCGCTGGGTGCCCAGGTCGTAGTGTGTCAGGAATTGACTCGATACGGTCGAAGAACCTGTCAATATTTTGAGCTCTGATTCATTTCAGTCAAGAATGCGGCTTGCTTACGCTTTACTAAAGGAAGAGATTTCGATCAGGAGGTCGAAGATTGCCTCCACTTGACTTGATGGGTTTGCGACAAGATATCCTCGAGACTTTGACCACGGCTCCTGCGATAAAAACGTATCTTCGCCGTACAGAATCGCTCGGTTTGCCTCCAGCGATCTAAACGCTCCGAAGAGTCTCTTGTCAAGCTGACACGACTGACTCGTCGCTCCTACGCTCTGGATGATCCTAGCCGTCCCGTAGAGCATGTGTTTGGCCCACAGGTCCCCAGAAGCTTCAGTCATCAACTTCAACTACCAGTCAGTAAACGCGATTCAAAAAGTGAAACATGGTTGAGGTATTTCACCTCGAATAGCCCAAGAAGTAGCGTGCACCAGAGAACTCCACCGCAGCGGAACGCGTTTGATACCTGCAGTCGAGCTCGGAGCGTCTTGACGGCTTCCCCGTATAACACAAAGGCAACGGTGTAAGGTGGCTGCTGCCCGCGAGAGGACTTGACGGTTGCGCGTCGGCTGGCTTCGAGTGCGCCAATCGCTGTCACTACTTGCCCGAGCGGTAAGCATGTTTGGGCCAGGGGTAAGAGGTCGGCAGCCAGGCCGTTGAACTCATCTGTAAACAGACAGCGCTTCATGCAGAGATCAAAATAGTCAAGGTAGAGTATATCGCTAGGTATGTTGACGTGTGCCGGTAGTCCAGCGACTTGCATGCCTTCTTCAGAGGATTCAGGGCTGATGAAGTGCACTTCGGTCGTAGATGTGGCCTGAGGTAGGCAACGTTTCTTGGTTCGAGTACAGTACTCGCAGGGAGAACCGCCTTGACACTGATTTGTGATTGCTGTGTGTGAGTTCAAGTAACGCCATATGTGGGAATGAGCTGTGTATAGGTGCCTACCTTGATACGCCTTTTGGCGCATGGCAGACAGCGAGTCCGTCTCCTGCGGTGATCCAGCGGACCGACCTCACGCTTGATCTTCATTTGAGTGTGCCGACATGAATGTTTATGTGTCAAAGTAGAGTTCCATCTCTCGAAGGCGGAATTCGTACAGGAGGCGCACAAAATAGTAGCGCTCTCGCTAGTCTACGATTCTAGATGTCTCGGGAGTGGTCACTGGTGGCAGTGCGGACTTATACGAAAGCTCCACTGCCACCCCGTACTAGTAGGCAGCTTTACTCGATTAAGAAGTAATTGAGCGCAGCGGACCCTCAGCAGCGCCTGAAAGCGCAATAACTGATCCCTCAACGGATCAAATATACTCATGACGCTGCGAGACAGATATGGTTGAAACTTATTTACTGTTTAATACCCACCATCGGGCAGGCCCATGCGTCTTCAACATATTATGGACTGGGCTAGCATGATAATTGGAGGACCATAGTACGTACTTGGAAGTTGGAGAAGCCAAAACCCCCCATCGGCCACCACCACCACCAAAACCCACCACATCCGCCCATGCTATTCATCGTCACCAACCACGACAAAACGACGATAGCTTCACAAAACAAAACTCCAAAAACATACAACACCAGGTATTCGCTGGTCGTCACCGACCCAACTACTAATCCGGCCCTCATTGGCTTGTCTATGGGAGAGCGGACGGGATCCCGAATTTTCCAATGGGTATGGTCGTATGTGGTA